GGCTCAAAACGAGGCATTTTGCAATAATTTTCGTTAATTGCACAATGACCCTTACAAAATGATTATGGTTGATCACAAAGTAAATTCGAAGGCCTTCATGTGTTTTTAGACAAAATGATTTATTATATATTTATTTATTTAAATTATTAATTTTGTCAAACAAATGTTTTATTATGATCGAGGCAGAAATAATCAGAGGTACCAAAATAGATATATTAATTAAGTAGTCGGATTGATGGCTTTATTTATCCGATAACTAATTATGCATAGAGGGGTCAAAGTGCAATATTGACTTAGAGGTTATTTATTATTTAATTGGAGTTTAATTAATTTCTTTTAGTGGAGTAGAAATTAATTTATGAATTAATTTAATTGGGTCCATGGACCAGGCCAATTATTAATTCATTGTAGCCAATAAAATAATAGGCCCAATGGATTCTCACTCATAGCCCAACTTGATATTGGAATCATATTAGATTTGAGACATATGAATTAGAGATGGAGAAGGATTTGTTATTTCCTTTTCTTTATTTTTATGTTGCCTATAAATATACATGGTCTATGTATATTTTAGGGGGTGATTTTTAATGAGAAGGAAAAAGGAATTTATTTTCTCTCTCTAGAAAATTAGGGTTTATGTTCTTATCTAATGGAGGTAACTGCAAAGCTGCCTAGAATGAAAATATCTTCCAAAAGATATTTTCTTAAAAACCCCTAATCAAAAATTTCCAAAAGATATTTATGAAAAACACCCCAAGAAACATCAATGTTTTTGAAGAATCCTTTCATCCATGTCCCTGCGGGAGAAAGAAACAACCGGCGAGCTTTTCTCCAAAAGTAAAGCTACGCGTTTTGAGGAAATTAACTGAAATGAAAACTCGTGAAGTCAAAACTCAACTTCGAACGTGAAAAGGGAGGTTGTGCCAACAAAGTGACAAACGGGAAAAAGACAAAAAGTGAATTGTGTCTTAAAAATGAAAATGTGGAAATGACTCAGTCGTTAAAGGAAGTTATCAATCCAAAGGAAAGAGTCTCGGAAACCATTTCCGAGCCCTCGAGACGATGCTAAGTGATGAGTAACTGAACTCAGAAAAGAAAATTCAACGAAAAAAAATTTATCCATAAAATTTCAAAAAAAAGAAAGGAAGGAAAATGACCGGGTCATTATAAGAAACAACTGATAGAAGAGCTCGTACAGTAACAAGCTTAGCGACGGTGGCGAAATTGTCATGGTAATCAAGCCCTTCAACTTGTGTGAAGCCATTGGCAATTAAGTGGGCTTTATATCTTTTAATGCTGCCATCAAAGTGGTACTTGATTTTATAAACCCATTTACACCCAATAGGTTTCTTATTGGGTGGTAAAGGAGTGAGGCTCCATGTGTGGTTGTTTTCAAGGGCACTAAGTTCTACGGTCATAGCATCACGCCAATATGGAACCTTAATTGCTTGGGAGAATGACTTTGGCTCTTCGTTGGAGGAGATGGCAGAAACGAAGGCTCGATGGGCACCTGAAAAGTTAGTATATGTAATATATTGATCAATTGGGCAGATGATACTGATTTGACTAGAAGTCGCTGGAGTCTATAGTGCAGCATTAGTGACTGTCAAACAATGATAATCTTGAAGGTAGGCTGGTTTACGTCGTTCTCGAGTGGAATGAATGGCAGGTGGAGGAATGGTGATATGAGGAGTGTCTCCTTAAGATGAAGGCATTGGCTGATTTGATTGGGTGTCAACAAGGACAGGTGGAACAAATCTTTTTCTATGGTATGTTTGAGTAATGGGAGGACGCTCTGTTTGATCCTGAGGTAATTCCATTGGAAGGGAAGTTGGATTTTTTGTAGTGGGTGCAATTAAGGGTGGGGGTTATTGTGGATGATCCTCAATAGGTAGTGGGATGATTAGTGAGAGCTTGGAAATTGAAGTAACATCGTGGAAAGGAAATATAGCTTCATGAAAAACAACATCTCTGGACACATAAATTCTTTTGCTTTTGATATCATATATTCGGTATCCTTTCTGCGCATAAGGATATCCAACGAAGACTCCGGGTTTGGCACGTTGATCAAACTTGTGTTTGCTGTGAGGGTTATGAGCAAAAACTAGGCAACCAAAAACACGAAGGTGAGAATAGAGAGGTGGCTCACGAAACAATACCTCATTTGGTGATTTGTTTTGTAACAAGGGTGTGGGAGTTTTATTAATTAAATAGGCAGCAGTGAGTATGCATTCTCCCCAAAAAGAAAGAGGTAGGCTTGCCTGAAATCTTAATGCCCGAGCAACCACTAAAAGGTGCCAGTGTTTCCGCTCTACAACACCTTTTGTTGGGGTGTGGACACACAACTGTGTTGATGAATGATGCCATTTTCAGAAAAGAAATCTTGCATTTCATTTGAGAAAAATTCCGTGCCATTTTTCAGAACGGACTTGTTGAATTTGAGGAAGAAACAAGTCCCCTTCACCAGAAAATACATGTTTTATCTCACAATAGATTGGGATTTTACCATGGCAAAAAAGGATTTTAAATAATACTTTGTATCAGTCTTAAAACGCATGAGGTATACCCAAGTACATCTTGAAAAATCATCCACAATAATCAAGAAGAAACGTGCACCACTAAAAGATTGCTAAGAAAAACTTCCCCAAATGTCAACATGAATTAATTGAAATGGCTTATCAGATGAAATGGAACTAGCAGGAAAACTTAATCTTGTTTGTTTTGCCTGTGGACAAATATCACAAACATATTTATTGGAAAAGGAGATTAAGGGAAAATTCTTAGGCTTACCTGACATGAATCCAAATTGGTTCTCCGACACTTCCGTCTCTCGTCTTAGGCTTTATTCAATCACTCTCTCCCAAACTTTCATAGTGTGACTCATTAATTTAATACCACGGTAATTATTACAACTTTGTACGTCCCCTTTATTTTTATATATTGGTACTAAAATACTTTGGCGCCACTCATTAGGCATCCTCTTAGTTGTTATTATCTTATTAAACAACTTTGTTAACCAAGACAAGCCAACTTCTCCAAGACACTTCCACACCTCAATGGGAATGCCATCGGGTCCTAAAGCTCTCCCCGATTTCATCCTCCTTGAGGCATTCCAAACCTCCCCCTCCCACTCATTGACCCTACAAAAAAATATGTCATCTCTAACATATTCTTTTAAGCCTAGACCTCCTATATGGTTTTCATTTAGCAATTTCTCAAAATAACTTTTCCATCTTTCTTTAATTTCATCGTCTTTTACTAAAACCCATGAATCTTCATTCTTAATACATTTAATATGGCTAAATTCTCTAGTTTTCATCTTCCTTAGCTTAGCAAGTTTATATGGTTCTACTGCCCATCTTTTATGCCTAGTTTAGAATAGAAATCATCATATGCTCTATGTTTTGCCTCACTTGCTACTTTCTCAACTTCTTTATTTACTTTTTTATATTTGCCAAAGGTTTCACTAATTTTAACTTTTTGCCAAACCTTATAGCATTCCCATTTGTTTTTACGACTTTTTGGACTTGCGCATTCCACCACCAAGTTGCTTTAAATAATGGCCCATTCCTTTTTTAAATCCCTAGGACTTCTTTTGCTACTCTTTTAATATATGCAGTCATCTTATTCCACATTAAGTTTGTTTCTTCTTCTAGATTCCATGTTGCTTCTTTTAACATCCTATATTTAAATATCCTACTTTCTCCCCTCTTAAATTCCACCACCTACTGTCCTTCTCTAAACTAGAAATTAATTACTAAGGATATAATTATAAGCCTTACTTAGAAATTAAACTAGAACTGACCCATCAAATGTTTTTACAGAGATTCAGGTCATGTCCACTGCCAGAATATCCTTGACGATCTTGAGACTATTTTCTCTGTTTTGGATTGATTAGTTATTACCCTTTATCTCACCCAAACTATTTTTACCATATGTTTCTAAATTTTTTGTCCAGAGGCTGCCACAAAATTTCCCAATTTATGATGTCAACTAGTCTGTCGGGACTCAGGTGTAGGATTTCCAGTAGTCTTATCCAAGCTTTTATTAATTTCTATGCCATGTTCCAAATGCTCTTTATCCCAGAATATGATTCCTTACGTAAATACTAAAGTTCCAGACTTCAGACCATGAGCAATAAATAAGCATATCAACAGAAATGCCAAATAAAATAGTGGTTGACTACTAATGTATTTTTGATATAGCAATAATTTGAAGCATTCATAACTATCATTAACCATTTAGGACTATAATGACAGATTAGGTTTACTATAATTTTCAAAAACTGAAGACGAAACTACTTATCAAAAATATATATATATATATATCAAGATGAAACCAAGACTTCATTCATTTGAACGTAAATGTGTGAATCTTCTCCATGCACAATGGAGTTTTTATCTTGCTTTACGTTCTATTTGCCTAGATAATATGAAAAAAGTAGAGGGTGAGCATGACAGCTTAATTATAATTGTAATATTAACAGGAAACTTATTTTAATGTCATGGTTTTGGGTGTCATGATATGCTATGCATTCTTGTTAGTCTTCATTGAGCTTATGGCCATTGGCATCTTATTAGGTCCTTGCATTAGTTTCCAATTGTCTTGAGAAGTCAGGTAATCGTTTTTTGCTTATGAATATTTTCCTTGAGATAGTTACCAGATTATCAGGTATTTCTTTTTGCTATTGCCTATAAGAGAATAATTGTCATCAATGAGATTTTCTAAAACTGAATTTTCTGGGATTTTCTAGAGTACAGCAGATGTAGGTCATGCAAGCTACCAAAATACCTTTGTTGACAACTGGAATTTGGTGGTGCCACTCATTATTCTTTGAGGAAACATTTACACACACACACACACGCATGTATGATACATATTATTCCCAATCCTTTTCTATGACTACATGCATCTTTCTAATTGTATTGGTATTATATATTTTAGGTGACTTTATTACCTACAAACAACTGTTTAATAAAGGAAACTCACTCGATTTTTAGGTGCATGAAATTCGTGATTTTTTCTGGGATGGGATCCCGTATCGTGGTGCTTCATGGTTAAGAGAGGAACCCATTGAAGTAACATGGGAAAGAGTAATTGCAGTACCAGTTTGTGGGGGTTTTATTGTTGGCATACTGAATGCACTTCGAGGTGCTCTAGAGGGCCCTACAAAAGGAATTTTCATATCTAAGGCTGCATTGGAGCCAATTTTGAAGACAATGGCTGCATGTATCACCCTTGGGACAGGGAACTCATTAGGGCCAGAAGGTCCAAGTGTTGAGATAGGTGCATCTATAGCCAAGGGAGTTGGTAGTTTGTTTGATAAAAGTGCTCAGAGGAAGCTCTCTCTTGTGGCTGCAGGGTCAGCTGCTGGAATCTCTTCTGGTTGGCATTTCTCAGTTATAAATTTGTCAAATTACATGCATGGAGATGACCCTTTATTAAATTAAGCATCTGCTCACCTTTCTGCACTATAAAAGCTAGCTATCACTTGGTTGTTAAATTAAATATATTCGCCAAGTTTTTTAGATTTGATTATGAATATCATCCAAACATGGAACACAGATTTTAGAACTACAAATGAATCAGGCATTTGGTAAGCAACTTGACTTGAGTGCTCGACTCCATAAAGGACTTGTTTAAGTCTTCTATAATTAAGTATACAAGCCTGATCTGTCTGTTTCTTGAACTAGCCGAGTTTGAGCAATGCTACGCTAAGCTGGCTTAGTGGCTTGGAAAAACATTCTTCATAGGCTACTGTGTAATTTCAATATGGTTGCTGGTCATTTTTGCATAAAAAATGAAGTAATAAAGTTGGTCAGATTTATTGCCCCACAATTATTATGTGTTTCGAACCTAGATTTAACAGCTTATGAATCCATAGGACCCAATTAAACTGAAATCAAGTGGCTGGTTTAAGAGCTTGAACATCCTTATTTAGTTCCGACCAAAGGAGAGCTCCAATCACCTCCTATGCAGCTTAGCTCCACTCGTTTGTAGCCAGACACAGGTCACCGTTAAATTGGAGATGTTATCATATTATTGCCCTTGTTTGCTTTTTGCCGTTCTGGTTCAAACTTAAAGAAAGGAATAAGGGGTGTAAGCCTGTTTTGCATTACAATCACGTGATCTTAAAACTAATGTTATTCAACTTCATGAGTGGTAATATTTTCATGTTATCCATCATTGATTATGATACTGGTGTTATTGTTCTGATCCACAGGGTTCAATGCTGCTGTCGCTGGTTGTTTTTTTGCGATAGAGTCAGTCTTATGGCCATCACCACAAGAATCATCGTTATCACTTACAAATACAACTTCAATGGTCATACTTAGTGCAGTAATAGCTTCTGTGGTGTCCGAAATTGGTCTTGGCTCCGAACCAGCCTTCACAGTCCCAGAATATGATTTTCGATCCCCAAGTGGTAAGGATTACATCGCTTTTTTCCTTTCGTCATGGTCCAGAGAGGCCCCATTTACCATCGTATAAAGGGAACATTTTTTAATTTTGGAAAAATATGCAAATTATTTTGAAAACTACTTCTGAATATTTATAACAATTATACGTATTATATAATCAACAATATTTAGATGCTACCTGGCGTGGAGGGAGCAATATGCATGAATTGGATCTTGTCCATCTGACATCATCATAGGGCATTTACTTAAACTTGCTTTATATATATATATATATTTATATATTGTTGAAATATCTGTATTATCATTATTATTATTAGTTGTTTTCAGCCTTTTATTAGGTGTTTTATGTCATCCCTGTAATCATAAGATCACGTATATAAGATCCGCATAATCATGGGATCACGTAAATTTTGGCATATTTTCTGTTTTTCTTTGATTTGGTTTCCTTTCTTTGTACCCTATTCTTGTATATAAATATAGCTCTTGGCTCTCAGTTTGAGTACGCCAAAACCCAAAACTTCTTTTTGGTATCAAAGCAAAACAAAAACCTTCGCCTCCCCATCTTCCTCCCCAACGCCGTCACCTTCTCTCTCCCTCTCTCCATTTTTCCTCACCTCCGAGGCGTACCTCCATCTCCTCCCAGCCTTTGCGCCGGACCCCTCAGGTAACCCTCTGTTTTTTACTCCTTTTTTTAGGAGAATTCCCTTAGGTTTTTTATGACCTAAGCGTCCTTATAGTGTTTTTTTTCTCCTTTGTGGGCTGCTGGTGTTTGTTCGGCAACATATTTAGAGAAAAGCGCCGATTTTTCCGGCCTTTATTTTTTTTTCCTCTTTCCTCTGCTTTGACGTGTGGACCAGCCTTATTTTGGTACTATGACTGATTCTAGTAGCCAAAAGGACACTTTATCCTCTGTCCAGCATAGTTTATCTTCGGTAGATCATACTCCGGCATAACGGGTTACTAGTGTGCTCTTGAATGGGTGCAACTTCGTATCTTGGTCCTATTCTCTTCAACTTTATATTGGAGGGAAAGGGAAAACTGGTTAACTTTTGGGTCTATTTAAGGAACCGGAAAAGACGAATACTAAATATATTGCATGGGACATGGACAGTTGCACCATTCTGGGTTGAAATTTTAACTCAATAGAGCGTATCTATAATATGTTCATGTTTCACACTTCCGTTTTTCGTTTGTGGCAAGCCCTTAACAAGATGTATGCCCATTCCCGCAATGACGCTCGTATCTTTGAACTCTATCAGGAGATTGCTCATGCATCTCAGGAGACACTCAAGCTGTTAGTATCAGAGTATTTTGAATACCTCCGGTCTAGGTGGGAAGAGTTAGCACAGTATAACCCTCTTTCCGATTTCTCTGAAGAAGCTGTAACTCTTTTGGTCAAGAGACTGGACCAGCATACCTACCAGTTTTTGATGGGTTTACGATTTGAGTATAATGCTCTTAGAACTCAGATAATAAACACCTCTCCTATGCCTAATTTATATAATGCCTTCGCTACTGTTGACCATGAGGATCATAGACGTTAGATCTCTTGGCCTATAGCTTTACCAAAGACTCCAGTTGATCAAATGGATCTTGCTGTTAATTCTAGACTTTTAGAGGGAAAGGTTATTTGTCAACATTGTGGAGCCACGGGTCATGTAAAGGATCGTTGCTTTAAGCTTCATCCCGAGCTAAAGCAAAAATTTTCTCGCAATTGTCCTTCTGGCCGTGGCTGCACTGCTGCAGTAGCCGATTCTATTGGTAGATATACTACTCCACAGATTGTTGTCCCTCCTGCTTCAACTCCTCTCAGACCATCTTTTTAGGACTTCAATCAGTTACAGTCCCAAATTGGTCAGCTTCAGGAGCATTTTGGAGCTTTATCTACCAGGGTTTGCTCTTCTATTCCCATGGCTACTATAGCTACAGGTACTCCTTCTACTTTTCATGTTAAAGCGAGAAAACCTACTTGGGTTCTGGATTCCGGAGCCATTGATCACATGACTGGTGAGTTGTCATTATTTTCTACTCCCGTTACCCCTATTAATCAGGTTGTTAGTCTAGTCGATGGGTCAACCACCATTATTCGTAGTAAAGATGTTCATCTATCCCCTAATATTATTTTGCCATCTATTCTTCATGTTCCTAACTTTGCATTTAATCTTCTATTTGTTAGCAAACTTGCCAAATCACTAAACTGTGCAATGATTTTCTTTCCTCATTTATTGTGTTTTACAGGATTGTGTTTAAAGAGGATATTTGGCAGGGGATATGAGCACGATGGCGTCTACTACTTTAGGGATCCTCCTCTGACACCTCCTCCACTTGCTTCAAGCCTTCAAGCCTCTGTTCTTTCAGTTTCTAGATCTTATGATTTTTCTTTTCAGACATTAAATTTATGGCATGCTCGCCTTGGGCATGTAAACTTTCAGTACTTATGTCTGTTTTTCCCTTCATTAATAACGGCTTGTAAGGATAATAAGTTTCAATGCGAGATTTGTGAGTTTTCTAAACATATTCAACTACTTATAATTCTCATATGCATCGTGCACCTAGTATGTTTGATCTCATACATTCTGATGTGTGGGGTCCTTCTCCTATTACTACTTTTTCGGGACATCGTTATTATGTCACATTTATTGATGATTATTCCCGCTGCACATGGGTATATTTACTTTAAAAAAAATTTGAAGTTTTTCCCACTCAATTCCTTCAAATGATCAAAACTCGATATAAAACTGTTGTTAGGAATATTAAGTCTGACTATGGTCGTAAATATGTTTCCAACGAGTTTTGGTCTCAACTTAACCAACAGGGTATTCTTTATCAACTTGTCCGAATACCCCTGAACAGAATGGTGTGGTAGAGCGTAAAAATTGCTAACTAATGTTAGTTGTTCGATGTCTTTTAAGTGGTACGAATGTGCCAAAGTCATACTAGCACATGGCGGTTCTTACAGCTACTTTTCTTATTAATCGTACCCTTAGTAGAGTATTAAATGGTAAGGCCCCCTTACAAGTGCTTCTGCCTGATATTACTCTTTTTTCCATTATGCCTCGGATGTTTGGAAGTACATGTTTTGTTCAGAATCATAGCCCTTCTCGTACTAAACTTGATGACAAGGCCATTAAATGTATCTTTTTAGGATACTCTTCAATGTCAAAAGGTTTCCGGTGTTATGATCCTGTACACAAACACATGTATCAATCTCTTGATGTCACCTTTCATGAGCATACCCCTTTTATGGTTCTAACACTATCTTGCAGGAAACTTCTACTCTCGATCAAGAGGTTTCTCCTCTTGCTCGTCCTCTTCCTATTTTTCAAAAAGAGTCTTCTCTTGTGATTTCCTCACCCCCTTTGCAGGTCTATTCTCGCCGCCCTTGTGCTCTGCCTCCACTGCCTTCATCCTCCTCAGATACTCGTTCAGTTACATCTCCTCTCTCTCTTTTACATTTCCCTAACCTCGTTCCTGAGTCTTGGTATCCCACTCGGGACCGCAAACCCCTTGCTTAATTTGGATTCACTTGTAGTACTAATCATCCTATTTCGCTGTATATCTCTTATGATGGTCTTTCAGAGTGTTATCGAGCCTTTCTATACAAACTTGATTCCATTTCCATTCCCAGAAATGTATCTGAGGCTCTTCGGAATCCTAATTGGATGTCTGCTATGATGGTAGAAATGGATGCTCTGCAGCAAAATGAAACATGGGAGCTTGTATCTCTCCCTCCTGGTGAAAAGATTGTTGGTTACAAATGGGCATTCAGTGTTAAATATCTGGCCGATGGCTCTATTGATCGGTATAAGGCCCGTTTGGTGGCCAAAGGGTTTACTCAGATTTCTGGTAAAGACTTTAATGATACCTTCACTCTTGTGGCTAAATTAACCTCGGTTTGTTTGCTTGTCTCCCTAGCTGCCTTTCACAATTGGCCTCTTCATCAGCTTGATATGAAGAATGTGAGAAATTTAGGAGAAAATATTAAAATTATATATCAATTGAGAAATCCAATACACGACTTATATACACAAATTACAGTCTGTACAGAGCTAATCACAGGGAGATAAAATAGGAAACTAACCTTCTTAACTTTCTTAAAAATGAATTAGAATGAATTTCTATATTAGTGGGATTCTCTAACTTATTATCTCATGATTCTAGGAAAGTCAATGATACATATAAAATACATTCCTAACGAATCCACCTATGGAGGGAATAAATCTTCTACTTTCCAACACAATGCTTTCCTTAATGGTGATCTTCTTGAGACTATTTATATAGATCCTCCACCCGGTTTTCGGGCTGAGGGGGAGGATGCTGGAAAGGTATGTCGATTGCAGAAGTCTTTGTATGGTTAAAACAATCTCCTAGAGCTTAGTTCAGCTCCCTTATGCTGAAAAGGCTGTTGGTTGCAAATAGGTATTCAGTGTTAAATATTTGGCCGATGACTCTATTGTTCAGTATAAGGCCCGTTTAGTGGCCAAAGGGTTTACTCAAATTCCTGGTAAAGACTTTAATGCTACCTTCGCATCAGTGGCTAAATTAACCTCAGTTTTTTTGCTTGTCTCTCTAGCTGCCTCTCACAATTGGCCTCTTCATTAGCTTGATGTGGAGAATGCTTTCCTTAACGGTGATCTTTTTAAGACTATTTATTTTGATCCTCCACCCAGTTTTCAGGCTGAGGGGGAGTATGCTGGAAAGGTCTGTCGATTGCGGAAGTCTTTATATGGGTTAAAACAATCTCCTAGAGTTTGGTTCAGCCGCTTCAGTGGTGTAATTCTACCCATAGAGTTTATTAGATGCCATTCTGACCATACATCGATGTATCATTCTTCTTATCTATATTGATGATATCATCATTACTGGCAATGACATCCCTAGGATTGCTTAAGTAAAGCTTCAATTGGTTAAAGCTTTTGATGTGAAAGACCTTGGGCAGCTCTGTAAGCGAGAACTCAAATTATTATTCTTTGGAATGAATAAAATACATCATGGAGAGTTGGCC